AACTATGTCAAGTCATACAGGCAAGACTTGGTATATAAGGCTTCCTGTCTCTTCTACCTTTCTCCAAAAAGAAAATCTGCAGTATAGTAGTGTATAATACTCCTGACATGAATGATTGGCCTGTTTTCTTTTTCTTTGTTTTTTTAATTTTCCTTTTCTTTTTTCTTTTCTTCTCTTTCACTATGTGTACCAGATTGCCAACTAGAACTACAAGGAATGAGATTGAAAATTGTAGGGGATAGTATAATATGGCAAATAGATAGCATAGTAAATGGAACAATTAATATCTCCCCCATGACCTCTGCTTAGAGAGGTTTAGTGATGGAGGAATTAAATAGGCCTGCATGTTAGAACTGTGCAATCCTGGGCTGTCCCCATGCTGCTAGGGGCATAACAGAAAGGCATCCTTCAGAGTCCCTCTGACTTGCCTGAGGAAGTTACAGACTACAGCAGAGGTGGGCAACAGTGGCAGCAGAACTTGTAAAACTGTAAATGGAAAGTTAGAACTCCACCTCATGAGATGAGCAAGAATTGGGACAGAGTAGCCTTGGACTGCAACAGCAGAAGCAGAGGACCAGGTCATATGACAGCATCCCACACCCCCCGGCAACAATTGACTTGAGAAGACAAAGATTTGCCAGTGGAAGGGAAGCACAGAAGGCTGAGTAAAGACCAGGAGGAGCCAATAGTCCATGGGACTGGGAACGACCCCCATGTCTGTTTGAAAACAGCACAGCAACTGAAAGAGATACTCCACCAAGAGAAACAGGGTCAGGAGTAGGAGGATACTAAGAGGCATACAGAAAGAACTGGCTAAACACTCTTGCCCAGATTCCCATACCTGAAGCAAAGATCAGCCTTGAATCTAGCACAAACTCTACTGCAGGATTGGGAGTGTTATCCATATTAGGCAGGAGTTTTTTACTTCCAATGGACACCAGAGGAATTTCATTTTTAAAATTTTATTTTACTTTTCTTCTTTTTTTACTGATTTGTTTCCTTTTCCTTTTCCAATATCTGTCTTTTACCTATATTTTTGTTCTAATCTCTTCACCTTCTTTACCCTGTTTCTCTATTTATTTACCTAGACTTAATCATATTTTCATATGAATGAAGTTTCCCTAATTTTTCTGGTCAATTTCAATAATCCCTTCCTTATTACTTCATTCTTTTTCTTCTGCCCTCTTCACTAGTTTTCCAGATGTTGTCTGGTCATTCTTCATCCTCCAGCCTGACTTCTACTTTATTTCTTTTTAGTTATCTCTGTTCTATCATCTATGCTTCTTAAAATTTTCCATCACAGGTTAAAGCCATTCTACCAAGGGAAAACACCTTGCACAAGCTCCCAATTTGCAATCAGTTCTGTTATGTAACTGTAGATATTGCTTCTACGGTTAAGGGTACAAATTAACATGCAGTTACCACAGTGGCTATGGCCAATTATACTACATCAGCTAGGATGTTATATCTGTTTTAATCAGTTGTTCTCACTTTTGTAACAACACTGGAAAGTTCTGAGCTAGTAACCTTGAAAATCTCAGCGCCAAAACACCGGGACCTGAGCCAAGCAGATACCAAAGTCTCACTTTTCATTCATTTGAAAGGTAGGATCTTGGGACACACAGAAACTGCGAACCTCATAAGCATAGAAGACATTCCTGAAAACAATACTTACCTAGAGAGGCCTTGAGATTAATGATAAAGTTACTACAAAATCTTTTTTTTTTTTTTTTTTTTTTTTTTTTTTTTTACTGGGGATTGAACTCAGGCCCTTGTGTTTGCCAGGAGAGCACTT